CCCCCCCCCCAGCCCCGCGCGCTCGCGGCCGCCGTCCACGGCCTCGGCGCCGTCTGCCGCCGCCACCCCGCCCTCGCCCCGCGGGGGATGCGGCTGCTGTTGCAACTCCTGCGGCTGAAGGGGGGGGGGGGGGGGGAGGGCCACCCCAGTTCCGGTCACACGCCCTCTCACCCCTCCGGTCACACGCCCTGTCACAGTCCCTGTCACAGCCCCAACGCCGGGGGGGGACGAGGAGACCACGGCCGCCGCGGTGGGGGTGCTGCGGCTGCTGATCGCGGGGCAGGGGCTGCCGGGTGGCGACCGCGCCGCGGGCGCGCGGGTCGTCTTCCGCCTTCTGCGCGATGCGATGCGCGGCGCGATCGCGCAGCCGGCCGCGCTCGCGACGGTGCTCTGGCTTGTCGGGGAAAATCTTCCCTACCACGTCGTCATGGCGGCCGCCGCGCCCGATTGCTTTCGGGTGTTTGTCCAAAAATTTACTTCCCTTGAGCCGAACGTGAAGGAGGAGGTGCTGCGGTTGGGGTGTAAGGTCTGGCTCCATCTCGACGGCACGGGAGAGCTCGTGGAGCGATTTAGAAAGATCTTCGCCTTCGCGTTGGAGCTTGCGAAGTATGACGACTACTACGCGATCCGAGACCACGCACGGATCTTCGAGTGTGCGTTGGAGCGCGAAAGCGACACTTTCAAGGCGCTTAAGACGACACTTTTAGGCGAAAAGAGTCCTCCGATGGTGAATGAATCAGATCCTGAGTGTTCCGGGTATGAACTTGGAACCTTTTCTCAGTTATGGGGACATCCCGTCGGGCCCTATGAGGAGCTCCCTGCATGGCGTGTGGAGCCACCGGATGATACGGTGCGTATTTCCTTAGAGGAAGCCGCTTTGGAGTCAAAATTCGCACAAGACGACAACCTCACGACCTGTTCTTCTGACTCCTTAAGTTTTCACGATGACCCCAGGGAGAAGACGAGCAGCGATAGCAATTCTGACACAAACAGCAGCGGTAGCGCATCGAGAAGTGTTGAGTCCAGTGTGGAGACATCTGAAATGTTTGAAGAAATAAAAAGCGACTCCTTACCCCCCGGCACCTGTCGTGAAGGCGCACAGGATTTCAATGCTTCGTCTTTAAACAGCAGGGCGCCTTCAGCAGCAGGAGGAAAAATTATCGTGAGATTCAGCAAACACGTTAACCCAGCGGTAACATCTTCAACAATGAAGTCACCAACGGAGGCCGCACCACAAATTACCCAAACTTCGCAAACACTGTGCGATGCCCCTAACCAGACCGATGCCAAGTGTGCGGAATCACTAGAAACTGAAGGCCAAAACTTAGCTCCTAATTAAAAGCCAACTATGCGACTAAAATAGTATCCGAAGAATGTAATCTTACCGTTTGAGTATTGTCTTTTTTATTTTTTATTGAAAGGTGAGATGGAACTATGTTTTCTTATCTGCGCCCATGCGCATACGCCATCCTAGATAGTGATTGGTGTTTTTTGCTGTACTTTTGAGTGTAAAAAAAAACTGATAAACAGCGGAGGAATAGATATGAATAGGAATGTTATAGTATATAAATAACAAAAGGACGAAATTTATACCTTTCTTAAACTGTTAAAAAATATTGGAAGTGAGAATTAACTTAATCGTCAGGACTTAAGCTGGAGGGACCAAAAAGAGTTGACGATAATACATATATTATGTCCGCTGAATCACAACAGTATTTGTATACATAAATATTTGCATCGTTATACTTTAAAAGATTATCTACGATCTCACTTACCCTTTTTTTTTCCATCTCTCTATTTTTTCAACAGTTGTGTTGTGAACCTTCTTCTTACGATCATAGTCTATTGTTTGGGCTATATCCAAGATATTTAATTCTATACCATATTTAATTGAACTCATATATTAAAATAGGTTAGTGGAACACAATTCCACAAACTTAATTCAAAATTTTTCTAAACCTTTGAAATCATATAAATCTCTTTGAAGTATAGAATTAAGCACATTTCAGTAGCAATTATTGACGGGATTATTTGCTTATACAAATACAGAGCAACATTTTCAACATTTCCTTAGCTTTTTGCTTTTGGATTGGGTTTATTTTTTGAAGAAGCTCAAATTACGATTTGATTTTACACCCCCAAACATATCATCTAGATACAGCGTTACACCTTGTCATATAGTTGAATTGCTTATTTTATCTTTTGGAATCGTATTTACGTGGCTCAGTACAAGTTATCATCGCCACTTTTCTAAGCTTAGTTTTGTGAATTTTCGAAACTTAGCGTTTCCATTTATACATATACAGAAAATAATATAGCATTCAAGGACATTCAAAAAATAAATATTATCCTGTATAATACCGCAAAGTTAGTTAGTTATATCGTGAAGCTAACTGGATTATTATTATTATTATTTCATACATATTCAATCTTGCTTCCATCAGGAAACCTTCCCTTCAAAAAAAAAACGACTAACGTTGTTGACTTCATTAATCCTAAGAAAAGTAAAATTATGTCCTACATGGATACAATAAGTGATGCCCCTCTGAATATAAAGGGGGAATTGTGGTTGTGTGCTGACAGTCGAAAGCCTACTAAGGTTGGTGCTGGGCGTGGGACAAAAAACTACATAACAATTGAGAAAAACCGATTTGTTGTCTACTCTTCTCGTTCTCAACAGGCGAAACAGATCAGCGAAATCCCTTTCCGAAGTATAAAGCGAATTGCTTGGTTTACGCATCACCCTAGACAATCTTCGGCAGCTGAGGCGAGTAGTGGTGCAAAGATCCTTCACCGTCGATCCGATACCACCGCAGCGGCCTCCAAAAACGTCGCGTACCACTACCTTGTCGTGGAGTTTCTTCTAGATTATGCCTATATTTCTTTATCACATTCTAGTAAACGTGAACGGATGGTATTATGCACGGACGACCAGCAGGATTTCTACTTATGGAAACGTTTCATAGAGGAGTACGAACTTCCGCCACTACATCCAGAAAGGTTTGATGATTTGAGCGTCGAAAGAGGGGCTGGATCGCGAGCTGAGAACCCGACAGGGGGTGCGCTCGACCACGATGATACCACCAGCGAGGACGAGTCCTTTTTGGTGGGCCACACAGTGCGAAATGTCGATCAAAATGTCACCTCCCGATCCAGCATGTTGCTTACAGAGCTACAGGCGTGGCGTAATCGTGCTGTGGCGCTGGTGAATGATCTTGCCTGCATGACAGACTCTTCCCTTCAAGTAAAAGGCGGCGAGGGATTTAACCCACGCAATGGGGGGCACTCCTGGGATTTGCACGTTGAGCGGCTCCTGCAGAGCGTGGGGCGCAGATTGCAGCCGATGTTGATGCCGAATAGTACCGCAACGGAGGGGCTTGACTCACCGCCCTTGACGTCCTCGCCACCACTCCTCCCTGGTATTGCTAATGCTTACACCGATTTATCCTCTATAAAGTCGAACTTGGCAAAGCTCAAAGCACAGTATGGGTTGCCCTTGCCTGGCCCTGTTGGAGAGAAATACAACCTCAAGGAGGGTGGCGATGTTGTAGATTCTTCAGAGGTAGAGAAACATAAAAGAACTTATGAGGCTATGGCGTTGAACGGCCCCCGCGACAGGGTTCCTCCAGACAATTTTGTTCGTCCTGAGGATCATTATTCATCCCATATAGCTCAGCTCAATGAGGTAATTGAAGAATGGAATCGATTATTCGAGCGTTTTTGTGGTGCTTCTAAGGCGGGCGTGAGTGATCAACCGCCGCGCACCAAGGGCTTGGGTGGCATCACCACTGCACAGTTGATCAATGTGAAGCTTCAAAAATCGCGCATTAGTGCTTTAGAGGATCTTCTAACAGGCTCAGCAGCCGCGCGGAGTTTGGAGAAGCCATACGGGCAGACATCTGCAAATCAGGATGAGAGTGAACCTCATAACACTAGCTCACCTCAGCAGAGTTTGGAGATGAGGTTGGCAATAAATAAAAAATCGTTAGAATTAGAGCATCTAGAGCAGAAATCGTTCGATCTTAGCAGGCGAGTCAAGCTGATGGAGCGATTCAACACACAATCTATAATGGCTTACAGTAGTATCGCGGAGGAGCTTCTGCCGTTCGTTTACCGTGAGTTTTATTCTCTACGCGATGTATTTTTTTCCATGCTACACAAGGATAAAAGTGCTTACACGGCTGACGATAGACAAATCACCGGATCTCAATTCACTCGTTCAGAAACGACGAACACGGCATCTACAGCAAAGATAGCCGTCTCGGTGGCTCATTTAGAAGCTATTAATGCCCTTGAACAAGAGCGTCATGCTGCAAGCCAAAAACAGACTCAACTTGAGGCTGTAATGGGAGAATTAGATTCACTTCGACAGGAGCGCGATCGCGAGATTAGAGAACTGAAAACAAATTTCTTTTTAGCCAAAGAGGCATGGCAATCTGATTATGATGTTTTGCGTGCCAAACTTCGGGCGTTCCAAACTGAGCTTCCTGACCTGAACACTTCATTATATAGTATGGCGATGTCTGATGAAGGTTCGGTGCGCATGTCCATCAGCGCACGCAGTTATGAGCATTCAAAACATATAGTCGAGACACCAAGGAGCCGATACACAGACACAGATGAGGTTCAAAGCAAGCAACTTCTAATGAAGTGGTCCGTGAAATTAGCTACAGATGGGGATAACATGAATGATCTAAGAAACGCTAGAGATAATGGAGATACGCGTTGTGCACATTCCGCGAAACAACTTCAAAATTTTTATCAGTGGATAGTCTCCAAGGTTGCACCTCTAAATGCTCATAATAATAATAATAACTTACTTGAAATGACAAAAGACACATTAGAGACATATACTCATCTCATAGAGGAAATAGGGAAGGAGACAGAGGAATTTCAAAGCGGTGAAAACACCGTACAACAAATCGCTTTGAGATTAAAGCCCGTTATCAAAAGATTGACAAATGAAAACCGAACACTTCATGAGATGATTGACACAAAAGAAAAAGAGAAGCATTTATTGTGTCAAAATATTAAAGAGGAAATTAAGACACTAAGCTCATACCTCTTGGATTCTAATTCTAAAGAATCAAATAAAGGCGACAGTTCTAATTGCATAAAGGATCTGAAAGTGCTTCGTGAAAAATGTTCCAAAACAAATGCAATTATCATAGAAACCTTAGAACAACTTGAACCGGAAAAGGGAAGAAGATCCACAGCCTTAATTCCGTTATGCGAAAGAATTATAAAGAAATTAAAAATAGCAAACAAAAGTGAGTCTAAGTATCGCGCGCTTGTTGGCGTTGACAA